GATTTTTGTTTTCTTTATGTTGAGGTGTAATCCCTACTGAAGGCTGTAGTCTTTGATCATCTTCAGTAAGCGCTTCAAGTCCTTTTTGCTTTCAGCAAGCAAGGTTGTGTCCTCTGCATAATGCAGGTTGTTAATGAGTCTTCTCTAATCCTGATGCACCATTCTTCTTTATATAGTGCAACTTCTTGGATTATTTTCTTATTATACAGATTGAATAAGTATGGTGAAAGGATACAACCCTGACACATGCCTTTTCTGATTTTAAACCATGCAGTATCCCCTCGTTTTGTTTGAACGACTGCCTCTTGGTCTATGTATAGGTTCCATATGAGCACAATTAAGTATTCTGGAATTTCCATTCTTCGCAATGTTATCCATAATTTTTTATGATCCACACAGTTGAATGCCTTTGCATAGTCAATAAAACACAGGTAAACATCGTTCTTATATTCTCTGCTTTCAGCCATGATCCATCTGACATCAGCAGTGATATCCCTGGTTCTATGTCCTCTTCTGAATCTAGCTTGAATTTCTGGCAGTGCCCCGTCAATGTACTGTTGGAGTCGTTTTCGAATTATTTTACCCCTCTGTTTTCTTCTATGTGTTTTATGGTTTTAGTTCTTATACTTAGATCATTGGTCCGTTTTGAGTTGATTTTCATATATGGTATGAGGTATGGGTCCAACTTCATTCTTTTTCACCTAGGTAATCTAGGTGTCCCAGCACCATTTGTTGAAGAAACTATTCTTTTTCCATTGACTGAACTTGGCACTCTTTGATGACTTTTTAATTTTGATTCTCCTTAGCCTCTCAGTGGCATTCAACCCTGTTGACTACACCATTCCTTCTTAAAATTCTCTCCTCCTCTGGTTTTTGCAATTCAATCCTCTCCAGATAGTCCTTCAACCCTCTGACTACTCTTAGTCTCATTTAAGTTTCTAGAATTACATCCTCAACCCCTTTTTTGTCTTTTGGTAGTCTTTCTTTGGGAAATTTTATTAATACACGTAACTTTTACTATCAATACCAGCTTTTATTCCTAAATCTGATTTTTAAAATCTTAACTTTTCTCCTAAACTCACATATCTCTTTGCTTTTCCTTCCTGATATACATAGGAAAGAGCAGTACCTGTCATTGGTCTTTCTACGTATTCATATGCCAGTTACCCATCTTTTTATAAAGAGACATAGTCTTGTCACCCATTTGATCCAAATTCTACTCTGTATTATTGGGAGTTAGACAACCTATTAAGGCCTTTCCCCCTCTGGTTTTCCTCTTGCATGCCTAAGTCTGTAAGTGAATAATTTCATTTGCTTTCTGTAAGTGAATATGAATCAGCACAAAGCTGGTTCCTAGGAAGTGGAGGGCAGGTATATCTCAGATTTCCAGCTTCTTCATTATCTCTGACACCAGCTGCTTCCTTCCCTATGGTACTCTTTGCTGAGTAATTTGCTGCACCATCAACAAAACTCACTGACTATACTATGGTCATGTGGTTTATTAGGGTAAAGGATACAACTCAGGAGAATTCAGGGTACAAACAGGGAGGAGTAACATGATACAATTCAGGAGCAACTCAAGAGTAACATGAAGATGTTTGCACAAGGTTTGGAAAGGTCCTTGAAGCAGTGGGCATGTCTCTCCTGAGGAAGCTCTCTTTCCAGGATTCTCTCCCTCAGGAGGCTTCATTGAGCCTTAGTGTTTTGGGTTGTTATAATCCAGTCCATATAGTCATTATCGGTTACCAGGTAGGCTTATAGACTGGCTCCTAATCATTAATAAACCCTCTCGTGTGGCCAGTGTAGCCCAGCTAAGGGTTATTTCACAAAGGCCAGGGACAAAGGCCATACTACTTGAGGTAAAGTAACTCTTAACCCCACAGTCTGGCATACCTGATTTCCATTGTTTCTAGGACATTATATATGTCTTATTAGCTCTCTGTCTCTCCTCATGCTGTTCCCTGTGTTTGGAATTCCTACTCAAGCACACTTTTTTCCATATCCAAGAACCAGCTCAAATGTAGAAAAAAAATATATAAGAGAAAAGGAATAATAAATGAATAGATACATAGGGCAAGATCTGGGAGGTTTTCCAATATGGAGCTTCTATGTACCAAAAAGGGATGTGCTACCCTCTCACATGCATGGAGGTCTTTAACCAACTAGTAAGCTCAAGGAACTTCCTTGCCCAGAGATTTTATTGGGGATTTCATTACATAATGCAAAAAACTCTAGCCCCTCTCCCCTGAGGTCGGTTGGTATCATGAGGTAGTCATAAAGTATTACATGATGGGGCTTTCTGGCCCAGACAGCCCCTGCCCCAGTCATCTCATCACCCCACCTAACTGGTTAGCTGGATGTGGTCTGGAGTCCTTATCAAAGACACTTAAATTCCAAGATTTTTTTTTTAGAGATTATGTCTTAGGAATCAAGGGCAAAGACCAAATTCTTTGGGTAAAATTAATGTAAACCCCATAGTCAGTATAGTAAAATCTTCACTTAAAATGTGTTTGAATTACATTTTTACAAATTATAATTGCATGAGTGATTTGAACATTATTTTCTATTTTATGCATCATCATTCCCCATTTTTTTCTTTTTTTTTTTGTCTTTTACTTTTAACAGCCAGAAATCACTGTGGAAAATCTTCCCACTTATTTACGACTTCAGAAACCATTACTTATTTTGTTCAGTGATGGAAGCATAAATCATAAGTACGAAGAAGTAATATTGACACTGATAAAACAGAAACACTTAGATTCACTTACCCCTTGCTGGTTAAATCTGTAAGTATATTTTTAATTTTTAATATTAGAAGAGTTAAATAATAATTAGTATTACATTTTCACTAGGAAATGAAACTCTAATGCTACTTTTGAAGTTAATGTTATAGGACCAATGTATATGTCATCATGGTATTTTAGTAACTAAACTCCCTCAGATGGTCCAGGATGACCTTGTTTTAGATGGAATTCTGTTCTAAATAAAATTTTAAAAGTAGTATTTTTCTTCTGATTTTAAAAGTAATTGATGTCCACTGAGGAAAATTTGGCAAATATAGAAAAGTAAACGTTGTGATATTTTATTATTTTCCTTTAGTTCCTTTTTTTAATACTTGTATAATTTCAAATTCCAGACTATAATAGCACAGAAAAATTTTGGTGCATTTCCCAGTGCTATTCCTGGTATGTTTTCTAGATGCGTGGCTTGTGTTACATTTAATGTCTGTGAACACAGTTCGCATATACACGCTATCCCTTGTTTAGATTCATCAGATGAAACACATTTATGTTTTATCTTTTACCCATTTGGAAAATTACAAAAAATGAAGGTAGGTGGGGCATACATTTTTGCTGTGAAGAGTTTCATTAACAGCATACCTACTACCTGAGACAAAATTTTTCCAGATAATTATCACTATAGTTAGTAGGATACATAATGTGAAATATGCTGCATTAGAAAAACCAGATATCTAACTTATGAACTTAGGGTTTTCTTGTATGAAAATAATTGTTATAAGCTCTTTTGATCTAAAACTAATCTCCTCCTCCCCCTTTTTTTTGAGGAAAGAAAGGCACATTTATAAACATTAGAAACATTGATAAAATAAGCATCTTGCTTTAACATTCATAAAATGGAAGCAAAGGTTATATCTTATATAACCATTTAATTTTTTTTTTCCTTTTTTTTTTTTTATTGTACTTCAGGTGAAGGCTTACAGAACAAATAGTTTCTCATGAAACAGAAGTACACATGTTGTTTTATGACATTGGTTAACAACCCCACGACATATCAACCCTCTAACTTCTCAACCTTTTTTTTTTTTGGTGAAAATACACATAGCCAAAGATACACCATTTCAAAAATTTCTACATGCAAGGTTCAGTGACATTGACTACACTCTTTGAATTGTGCTGTTATTCTCACTTAAGATGAAGGCTCACAGAACAAATAGTTTCTCATTTAACAGTTACTACAAATGTTGCCTATGACAATGGTTAACAATCTCACAACACATCAACAGTATCCTTACTCAATCTTGGGTTCCCTATCACCAGCTTTCTTGTCCCCTTCTGCTTTCTGGCCCTTATCACTGGACTCCTGTACCTCGTTAGTCTCATTTGGTTTTACGGGGCTGTCCACTCCCAGGCTGAACAGTGAACCTCGGAGGTAACTTCACCACTGAACTAAAAGGGTGTCTGGGGGCCATACTCTCGGGGTTTCTCCAGTCTCCTTTAGGCCAGTAAATCTAGTCTCTTTTTTTGTGGGTTAGAATTATGCTTTACATCCTTTTCCAGCTCTGTCCAGAACCCTCTGTTGTGATCCTGGTCAGAGCAGTCAGTGGTGGTAGCCGGGCACCATCTAGCTGTACTGGACTCAATCCGGTGGAGGCCTTGGTAGCTGTGGTCCATTAGTCCTTCGGACTAATCTTTTCCTTGTATCCTGTTCTCTTCATTCTCCCTTGCTCCCGAAGGGATGAGACCAGTGGAGTATCTTAGATGGCCGCTCACAGGCTTTTAAGACCCCAGACACTACTCACCACGGTAGAATGTAGAGCATTGTCTTTATAGGCTGTGTCATGCCAGTTGAGCTAGATGTTCCCCGAGACCATATACCCATTTAATTTTTGAGCTGACATGTGATCAGATATTTGACTAAACTTTGGAAGGAACTTAATGACCACGTGAAGCCTAAGTTAACAAGCCTTTAGACTATACCTATTTCTATTTTTCACTTAAAACTGTCATTGGCTATCTTTTTTCCTCGTGAAAGAAACACAGGGCCCATGTTAAAAGGAAACTTTTGAAGAATCTGATTATTAAATACACAGTCATAGACTTCTTGGTTTTTAAAACATCTTTTTATAAAAACTTACACTATAAGCATGATGCTATATTTAAAGTTTAATGTTCTACAAACTATTATTTTTATTATTCTGATATAGAAAAATATTAATTAACATGTTCAATTGTTCCATTTTGTAGAAAGAATACTCCTGTGGGGAGAGGAATCCTGCAGGCATATTTTGATCCTCTGCCTCCCCTTCCACTTCTTGTTTTGGTGAATCTGCATTCAGGTGGCCAAGTATTTGCATTTCCTTCAGACCAGTCTATAACTGAACAAAATCTTTTATTGTGGCTTCAGAAATTAGAAGCAGGACTAGAAAGTTATATCAGTAAGTTTTCTGTTTTAATACACGTTGTTCTGTGTTTTGTTCCATGGATTTTAAACTTGAATCATAGATAATCAGTGCTAGAAATAATTGAATTGTAATGATGTTTTGTAAGTGTACTAATTATTGATATGCTGATAATATTGTCCATAGGTCAGTATCTGACTGTGAGGCCAGAAGTACAGGGCCTTGATCTGGGACAAGTCGCTTCCTTCTCTGGAATTTTTTTTCATTGAGACCTGGTTGCTTGTAAAGATCACCAGTGAATTTAAACATATAATTTTTGTAATTTATCCATTTTTTATTTTCTGATTGTTACAGTGGGATCATTGGCCTACCTGAGCATAAGTCCTTCATGATATTTTTATAAGACTAAAATTGTAGGTTTCACAAGACAGTTCTTGTATAGCTGTTTCATAGGCATACCATGGCCAGAGCAGAGTGCTTCTCAAACTGAGCCCCTTTTAAAACAAGGGTATGTGTGTGCTGTGGAAGTATAATGCAGTGAGCTTAAAAGTCAGAAACCTGAGCTCAGGGTCCAGCCTCTTTGATCATTGACTGTTGCCCTAGGTGAGACACTAAGCCCTTCTTAGTTTCTTCCTCTACAATTCTAAAATAGGATTAGTCCTTCCTACCCTAAATATGAAGAGCCTGCTGACACAGTGGGTAAGCACTTGGCTGCTAACTGGAAGGTTGGCAGTTCGAAACTGCCAGCCACTGCTCAGGAGAAAGGTGACAGTCTGCTTCCATAAAGATTACAGCCTTGGAAACTCTATGGGGCGGTTGTGTTCTGTCCTATAGGGTTGCTATAAGTCAGAAACGACTCGACAGCAATAGGTTTTTTGTTTAACCTGGGTCAGGTAGCACTAATCTGAAACAGCTATTGTTGGACTAGTCTAAAGTTAGGCTGCCGATGTACCAAGTACCTGGATTTTGTGTAATTGAATCTGAGTTAACCCATTGCCGTTGAGGTGATTCTGACTCATAGTGACCTTATAGGGCAAACTAAAACTGCCCCATAGGGTTTCCAAGGCTGTAAATCTTTATGGAAGCAGATTGACACATCTTCTTCCATCGAGCTGGCTGATGGGTTCGAACCACCAACCTTTTGGTTAGCAGCTGAGTGCTTAACCACTGTGCCACCAGGGCTCCCTAATCTGAGTTAAGAAACTATATATTAATAAAAACAGTACAGATACATTGCACATATACATATGCAGTGCGTTGTTTGAGCTTTAATCCAATCTAGGACATTGCAATTTATATAAACTTCCTAAGCTTTTAAAGATATTTGATTTATGAGAAATGCCCAAGTTTATGTTTTATGAACATTTATTGGTGTTTGTCTTTTTTCTTTTTTTATTCCCATGTAACAGTATATAAACTCTTTCACTGGAGTTTATTTTTACAAGGTTTACTTTGTACATTTCCTTATATAGTTTAGTTTTCAGAATAGCATTTTAAATGGACCAACTAAATTCTAAAACTGTTTTGTAAAATCTCTCTACTAAATGGAGAAAAGTTAGCTAATTTATCATATATAATGTGTGTGTGTATGTGTGTGTGTGTGTGTATATATATATATACAAATAATTGACTTTAACCAATTTTCCTATTCTAATGACCAATATTTTTAAGTACTGTTATGATTCACTTCTGTGAAATTGATTTGAAAGAAACAATCTAATCCCTATCTATGTTTAGTTGATTCCATAACAATTTTTAATTATTCCTTATCTATAATTATTTTTTACAAAATGATTTTTTTCATAAAGTATGTACAAAGGACATAAATCAAATTCTTCAAAAACAACAATATGTTTTAAAATGTAAGAAAATCCTTGTCTAAATAACACAGTAAATCAATAATGTATGCTCCAAAATTTTTTTCTGGAATGATTCGTTAAAAAAATACTGTTCTTTAAAGCAGAATAAGCAACAGATGTATCAGTTTCTTTTTGACAATGAATAAAAATAATCTTGCTTTGCTTAGGTAAGTGAAACTTATAAAGCCTTCATTCCTGCAAGTATAGTCCTTCAAAATAAAACATTTTCTGGTTTATTCGTGTGATTATTTTATAGCTGTTAATCTTTTACCCTTGATTCTGTCTTCCTTCCAGGAATTTTACCTGCTGAGGAATGGAAACCTCCTCTTCCAGCTTATGATTTTCTAAGTATGATGGATGATGCAACATCTCAGCATCCCATTAGGAAAGCTCCTAAGTGTATGAAAGAAACTGATGTGCAGGAGAATGATAAGGAACAACATGAAGATAAATCGACAGTCAGAAAAGAACCAGTTGAAACATTGAGAATAAAGCATTGGAGTAGAAGTAATTGGTTTAAAGAAGCAGAAAAATCTTTCAGGCATGAAAAAGAGTTATGATGCTCAAAAGTGAGCCGATTTCATAGGGCTTTGGGAAGCTTTCCAAAGTTTTATTGGCTTATTTGATAGGCTTAATTTATTTCTTTAAAGAATAATAATAAATACGTGAAGTTTCTAGACCAGTGCTGTCTAGTAAGAAGTATAATGCAAGCCACATGTGTAATTGAAATTTTCTAGTAGCCACATTAATAAAAAAGGTAAAAAGAAACAGGTGAAATTAATTTATTTCACCTAATAATTATACCAAAATATTATGATCTCAACATGCAATCAGTGTAAAAATTGATGAGATATTTTACACTTTTTTTTGCAATAAGTCTTCAAAATCCAGTGTATATTTTATAGGTACTGCAGCATATCAATTCAGACTTGCCACATTTCGGGTGCTCAGTAGCCACATGTGTCTAGTGACTACTGTATTGGATAGCTCAGCTCTAGACAAAAAGTGGTTTAATTAATTTAACTTAGCTCTAGCCATGATATATATTTGAATTAAGATTAAAATGTAAACTCCAGTTTAATAACAGTTAACAGTGGAGTCATACAGCTAGTAGTTGTATTTACTTTGTTGAATTCAGATGTTAAAACTGGTGTTTCTCAACCAGGGGGAGATTTTGCCCCCAGGGGACATTTGGCAATGTCTGGGGAAATTTTTGGTAGTCGTGACTAGGGGGCTGCTATTGGCATCTAGTGGGTAGAGGCGAGGGGTGCTGCTAAACATCTTGCAATGCATAGGACAGTCCACCACAACAAAAAAAGTTATCTGGTCCAAAATGTCTATAGGGCTAAGGTTGAGAAACCTCGTATTAAACTAACCTATGGCCGACTGGAATCTTTGAGTTTTCTGGTTCTGCTTAATTAACATGTTTGAGAAAAATCTTGGTTATTAAAGATAAATATTAGGTGGTCTTATCCTCATTATTAGCTGGACACAGTCTTATCTTTTCTTATAAATTTATTTTTATAGTGTTTTCAACAAGTGATGAGAAGTAATCCTAAAAAGGACTCAGAGTTCTACATGTATATATATTTAAGAGAATCTTAAAACATGCTCTTATTTCTACAGCTGATATTGCTAAATTTCACATTAAATAGTAATTAAGCATTCTGTCATCCTCACAAAAAGAGAGGCTCCCTCATAGTTATCATGTCTGAAATTTAGCCTTACAAGCTTGGGCAAATCAGTTGGTCTCCTTAGGCCATAGGGCCTCATCTATAAAATGAAAGGGCTAGACTAGTGAAAAAATTAACTTTTCATTCAAAAAGCACTCTTATTAGACTGACCTGTTTATAGCAGTTGTTTGTCTCATTTTCTTGTGTGCATTTTTTGAGATATTTGTTGAGAACATTCTTTTTGGTGCTCCACTGTATTTCTGCTTGTAATATCTACTTGGAGTATCTTGTTCTCAAAGTTTTCTCCACATATTGTTTACCTAGTACAACTTTTATAACTGGAATTAAGAAAGTCATAAATGGCTAAATTTCAATAAATGCATGTGATATAGGCCATTTTATTGTAATGTAGGCCATTTGCTACTCTAAGCATCCCCACTTCCATTTTTTCTCCTATAGCTTGTAATGCCTTAATTCAGTTCACTCTCACTTGTTTTTATTTTTAACATACGGAAGATGTGAGAGTGAACTTTAAATACAGTTTTTAGTTACATCATCAGCCTAGCCATTAGAAAATGCTAATAAACACACAAGCACATAGAAACATGGAATTGATTAGTCATTGTACCATGGCCAGCAATTTTGACAGTTATCGATATATATGTGTATTTTTAAAATAATTTTGAATAAAATGTGTGGATTTCAGGCTACTTCCAAAATCTTCCTTTGGCCTCTGTTGTGCAGTTCAACCACTTACCCTGTATCAGTTAGGGTTCTTTGGTTGCAAGTAACAGAAATTCAACTTTGTCTAACTATAACAAAATGGGAATACTAAGTAATTCACAGAATTAGAGGAAAGGTATCTGTGTAGCAGGAACTAATAGCCCAGTGGTGGATCAATTCCAGCTGTTTCTATCCTTTGTCAAAACTCAGGGAATCCTAGGAAAGTTGGTTAGGGGAAGAAGAAACACCTTAATGGGCAGCCCTAACAAGACTTCCACAGTGCCGAAGAGAAAAATCTAGCAAAAGAAATTTAGATTTTGTTCACCAGAAAAAGAGAGAACGAATTTTGGGACGTATACAAAACAGAAATAGAAAACCCATGAGCCGCTGAGACACCACTTGCTGTTCTATCTGTCCTTTGTATCCTCTTCAGGTTTTTCTGCCACATCCTCCCATCCATTTTTGAGAGTTCCAAAAGCCCTCTCTCTGCCCCCAAATGGTTCTAGTTTTCCTTTGTGTTCCCCTGATTCTCTGTAAGAGTTGATGGCCAGTGCGTATGTACATCCTGTGTAATATCTCATCCCTTGTGAATCTGACTTTTTCACCCTTTCCTTGCTTACTTATGCTAGACAGTAAACATCTTTGTTCCACTGTTTCTAGGCCTTAGGATGAAATATTCCATGGACTATCTTTAAAAATTTCTGGAATTCGTCACTCAATCTCATGCTTCTTTTAAAAACTAGTTAAATGTGTGTAAGCCCTGGTGATGTAGTGGTTAAAAGTTTAGCTGCTAACCAAAAGGTTGGCAGTTTGAATCCACTAGGCGCTCCTTGGAAACTCTACGGGGTCGCTATGAATCGGAATTGACTTAATGGCAACGGGTCTTTTTTTTTTTTTGGAAGCTGAACAGTAAGTGATACATATTAGTGTCTAGCTTTGATAATAAAATAATCAAATAGGTACACCGTGGTGGTTGCAATTCTGCTTAACATGTAGAAAGCTACAAGAGACAATTACTACCATCCTAACAAGGAAAAAAAAATGATAACTTTTCTTAAACCCATTGCAATAAACAAACAAGGGAAGTGAATTCCAAAGAATGACAAACTTCTTCAAGAGGCGACATGAAACACTGACTGTTTCACCTTTGGCAGAGAATGGGAGACTGTCATTAAAACAAGAAGAAATTATTAAGAACTAGGAAGGGTCTGAGATTTTTATCTTTCTAGCAAGTTAATAAGTTAGCTTGCTACACCCATGTTCATTGCAGCATTGTTCACAATAGCAAAAAGATGGAAACAACTTAGATGCCCATCAACAGAGGAATGGATAAACAAACTATGGTGCATACACACAATGGAGTACTATGCATCAATAAAGAACAATGATGAATCTGTGAAGCATCTCACAACATGGGTGAATATGGAGGGCATTATGTTGAGTGAAATAACTCAATCACAAAAGGACAAATATTGTATGAGACCACTACTATAAAAATTCATGAAAAGGTTTACACACAAAAACAATCTTTGATGGTTAGAAGGGAGGGGAGGGGTGGGAATGGAAAAACACTAAATAGACAATAGATAAGTGGTAACTTTGGTGAAGGGTAAGACCGTACACAATATTGGGGAAGCCAGCACAACTTGTCCAAGGCAAGGTCATGGAAGCTCCATAGACACATCCAGACTCCCTGAAGGACTGAATTGCTGGGCCGAGGGCTAGGGACTATGGCCTCAGGGAACATCTAGCTCAATTGGTATGACATAGTTTATAAAGAAAATGTTCTACATTCTACTTTGGTGAGTAGCGTCTGGGGTCTTAAAAGCTTGAAAGTGGCCATCTAAGATACTCCAATGGTCTCACTCCTTTGGGAGCAAGAGAGAATGAAGAAAACTAAAGATAGAAGGGGAAGATTAGTCCAAAGGACTAATGGACCACAGCTACCATGGCATCCGCCAGACTGAGTCTAGTACAATTAGATGGTGCCTGGCTACCACCACTGACTGCTCTGACAGGGATCACAATAGAAGGTCCCAGACAGAGCTGGAGAAAATGTAGAATAAAATTCTAACTCACAAAAAATGACCAGACTTACTGGCCTGGCAAAGACTGGAGAAACCCTGAGAGTATGGCCTCAGACACCCTTTTAGCTCAGTAATGAAGTCACTCCTGAGGTTCACCGTTCAGCCAAAGATTAGACAGACCCATAAAATGAGACTAAAGGGGCACAGCAGCCCAGGGGCAAGGACTAGAAGGCAGGAGGAGACAGGAGCTGGTAATAGGGAACCCAAGGTCAAGAAGGGAGAGTGTTGACATGTCGTGGGGTTGTTAACCAGTGTCATAAAACAATATGTGTACTAAACATTTAATGAGAAGCTAGTTCTGTAAACCTTCATCTACAGTTAAAAAAAAAATGAAAAAAAAAAGTTAGCTTGCCATAATTTCCTGAATCAGAGACAAAGGGCATTGTTATAGCAATAGCGTTAACTGGAGTTTCAGCATTTGTTCTGGTTCCCTGAGCCTCAGTCTTACAGTGCAGTATGAGGGACAGGTGATAGCTACACATGCAGTGGTTTGCATTACAGGGAGAACCCTGAGCTTAGGGAACCCAAATATTTTATAATGAGTATTAAGCATGCTTGTCCTTTGCTCTGGAAGGAGACATCTTTATTATACTAAGGAGTAAGCAGATCTGCTCTTTTCCTGTAGAAGGAGGTGCTGTTTCTCTTTTCCCATCCTTGTAAACGTCCTTGAAAAGATCCAGAAGGCAGGCAGGCAGTGTCTCTGCTTTTAAATCGTAGAAAAACATGAGAGAGAAATGGAGACTTGTTTCCTGACAGTAACTGTCTTAGTCACCTCGTGCTGCTAGAACAGAAATACCACAAATGGATGACTTTAACAAAGAGAAATTTATTCTCTCACAGTCTAGTAGGCTACAAGTCCAAATTCAGCGTGTCAGCTCCAGGGGAAGGTTTTCTTGGTTGGCTCTGGAGAAGGGTCCTTGTCATCAGTCTTCCTTGGTCTGGGAGCATCTTGGTGCAGGAACCTCAGGTCCAAAGGATGCACTGTGCTCCCAGCCCTGCTTTCTTGGTGATATGGGGTCCCCTGTCTCTCTGCTTGCTTCTCTCTTTTATATCTCAAAAGAGCTTGGCTAAAGACACTGTCTGATCTTGTAGACCTTATCAGTATAACTGCCACTAATCCATCTTATTACATCATAGTGATAGAATATACAACACATAGGGAAATCACATCAGATAATAAAAGGTAGACAATTATACAGTACTGGGAATCATGACCTAGCCAAGTTGACATATTTTTGGGCGATACAATTCAATCCATGACAGTAACCAACCAGAATTTCAAAGAATTCTTAAAGCCTAAGTGTGGGCTAGCATATTAATTTAGAATAAGTGGAAATCTCTGGCATGACAGTGGTTCATATTCTCTCAGGAGCCCCTTTGCACAACCCTCCACTGGGTGTACATGAGAAGGATTGGGGCAGGAGACTAGAAAGAAGAAACCCCTCAGTGACACAATGTAGGTGGTGACTGATCTGGTAATATTGGGGGACAGGCATGAAATGTGGCCCACTTCCTCAGCCCTTTCATACGAAGGAAAAGCTATTTGCCACTGGGGGAGAGAAACAAAAACCTTCCTGCCTTCAGGGCCCAGGCAGAAATCCACTGCTTCTAGAGGAGGAGTAAAAGCAAAATCCATTTGTTCTGGAGAGAGGCAGGAAACCTCTAGAGCTCAGGATCCTATATCAAGAACAAGCAAAGTTCTGAGGGGCAGGAAGATTTGTTCCAGAACTGTGAAAGATAGTCTTCCATGTTTGAGCTGCCATGGGGGAGGGGGAGGCAATTCCGAGAAGGCCCCACTTCAGGGCCCGGGTATGCAGGCCCTGCCTAAATCTGAGAATGGACCAAGAAAACTGAGACCCATCCCAACCCCACCCACCATGAGTTTAGTATCAATAAGCAACAGCAGTTTACCACTTTGGCAGGAGCAAGATGGTAGAGTGACACCCCTTGATGGCATAGGCAGGCAGGGACTTCTGAAGGCTGAGGGTGGAGCATGAATAATGAAAACAAAAAACAACTCTCTGGCACCCAGTCCCACTCTAAGTACATGATAACAGCAGCGTATCCCTAGAGAAACATGCATACTATAGTTCATCAAAGGTAAAAATAGCACCAACAAAGTCCAGACTCATTTTTATTGACTAGTTTAACTTGGTTCCCCCCTGCCCCCACTCCATGGTCAAGCCTAAATACTATTTACCTCAGTCTCTACTATTCTCCACAAGATGTATAGCATTCAGTCAAAAATTACAAGAACGCCCAAAAATAAGACAGTCTATTGTCAAGAGATGTCCTAAATGTTGAAATTGTAAGAGACTTTAAAATAACTATGATAATGGAAAAAGTTGCCACCCTACATGAACAGTTGGAATTTCAGCAGTGATGGAAATGCTAGAAATAAAAAAACATGGTAAAACAATGAAGAATGCTGTTCTTCATTGGTTGCTCATCAGTAGAATCGACACAGCTGAGGAAAGAATCAATGAACCTGAAGATAAATCAATGGAAATTATCCAAACTGAGATACAA